GGTCAGGGGGGTGGGAATGGGACACGGGGCCTTGCCCCTGTAGGGGGCACTGGTTCCAATCCAGCTGCAGGGGAGGGGACTGGCCCGGTCACGGGGGTGGGAATGGGACACGGGGCCTTGCCCCTCTAGGGTGGGAGACTAGCTGGCTTGGGGAGGGTGGGGGAATGAGTAAGGCTAAGATGAAGTCATGGAATCCGTGACTTCCAGCGACCTCCCTGACACTGTTCAGCTGCTATGAGCAGCCCCACGCCGCCCCCCACTCCCAGCCTACGGCAGCAGAGGAACCCTGGAGCTGCTCAGGGCTCACGGGGGGTCCCACGCAGCTCCCAACCCCGCAGGGCAGTGCGGGGACCCTTGTCAGCGATAGCCCCGCAGGGCAGCGGGGGGACCCTCGTCAGCGATAGCCCCGCAGGGCAGCGCGGGATCCCTCGTCAGCGATAGCCCCGCAGGGCAGCGGGGGGACCCTCGTCAGCGATAGCCCCGCAGGGCAGCGGGGGGACCCCTCCCAGCCACTGGGAAATGGGGTCCCTGCAGCTCCCTGCCGCTGCGGGGGGCAGGGTGCCGGACCCTCCTCCCTAGACATTCTGTCAGGGATGTTTTTAGTAAAAGTCAGGGACCGGTCACGGCTTCCGTGGTTTTTTGTTTATTGCCCGTGACCGGTCCCTGACTTTTACTAAAAACATCCCTGACAGAATCATAGCCTTAGGAATGAGACATGGGGCCTTGCCACTCGAGGGGGTGTCCAGGCTGAGGAGACTGGCTGGTGTGGGGGGAGGAGATACGGGGCCTTTTCCCCTCTAGGGGGCGCTGGCTCCCATCGGGCCCCAAAGCGGGGCAGCTGGCTAGCTCAGGCGGCTGGGGAATGGGACACGGGGCCTTTCAGCTCAGAGCCTAGTTCCTGCGTAGCCCAGGGTGGCTGTGCGGTGCTGGGTGTGAGACAAGCTGATGAATCGGAGTCCATTTTAGTGTGAGCCCCTTCATGCAAACCACCATCAGCACTGGGCCTCTTTGACCTCCTTACGGACAGTCCCCAGGGAGGGGCTGGGGCTCTGGACTCCCCTCTGGCCCTGGGGAGCCGGGCTGTGGCTCGCTGGTGGGGACAGGGCACTCTCCGGGAGCAGCCGGGGTTCTGTCTCCAGGGCCGGGAGCCCAGAGCTTAACACACTTCAGACACTGCCCCCAGGTGCCCTGTAAACCTGCCGGCTGAGCTGGTACGGGAGTCTGACTGCCCAGCCCGGTGGTCCCTCCAGTCCAGTGTCTGACTCCATCACTCAGACCAGAGCGGGATGGAGGCAGCGGCTGGCGATGGGTGTGATCAGACACCCCCCTCCCTGAGCTGGGCTGGGGCTCTGTCTGGCCACCCAAAAGGGGGAGTGACTCCTCCATGGTAGATCCCCACTGCAGCCCCCCGGCCCAGCTGTGTGACAGCGCTGGCTAACGGGCGCCTCCTCCCCAGGGACTGGAGATGTACCGGCTGGTGGCGTTGGCCATGTCCCTCTGGAGCCAGCTAGCCGTCCCGGTGCTCTTCCTTGTCTTCTGGCTGGTGCTCTTCACCCTCCAGATCTACTCTTTCCTGGCCTCTTCCAACAGCCTCCTCGCCCAGCAGGGGCTGCTCTTCATCTTCCTCAGCAGGTAGGAGGGGGCGACCCGCGCTGGGGCAGGGGGCAGAGTGGCCTGGAGGGCCACCAGGGCTGATCCAGGGAGCAGTGGGCCCAGGTTGCCTATGGGGGGGGAGGGATCTAGGCCGTTCTGGGCTGGAACTCATCTAATGCCGGGGCTTGAGATAAGGGACGTCGCATACCCGACCTGCTTGGACCCCAGTGATTCAGGTCCGGCTCCCTACTGCCCCCTGGTGTTCCTGCTGCGGTGCTGTACCTGCCTGCTCTCCTAGCCCATTCCCTGGGACCTGTCCGTATGGGCTAGGGGATGGACCCGGGGCCTCCCGAAGGAGCGTCTCACCCTGCCGTGTGGTCTCTCGGCAGCATGGCGGAGTGCTGCGGCACGCCCTACTCCCTCCTCGGCCTGACCTTCACCGTCTCCTACCTCGCCCTGGCCGTGCTCAACCTTTGCAAGTTCTACCTGCTGGGGTACGACGCCTTCCAGAACGGCAACGTCATGCACAGGTGAGGGGCCCCCGGGGGCGCGGGCATGGCTGCCGTGCTGGGGCCGAGGAGGCCGCATGCCTGGCTTCTGGTCAGGCGGCTCTGCCGGTGACCGTGCTGCAGTCAGAGGGGATGGCCCCACGGATGGACGTACCCTGGCTGGCTTGGATCGAGCTCACTCCAGTCACGAGCAGTGGAGCAGCGGCAGCTTGGACGAGCTGCTCGAACATGTACCCCGGGGGGGCTTCTCCAGCCCATGCTGTCGTGGCTTCCCAGATACTGGTACTGGAGCGAGCGAGATGCAAGCTAGCTCAGGTCTGTCGACGCGTGCTGCAGTCACCGCTCTGATCGCAGGGGACACCCCCCCGGCAGCTGCCCTGCTCCAGGGGCAGAGCTTCCCACTCCGCCTTGGGCAGCAGGATGGCATCGTGCCGTCATCCTCAGGGGTGTGGTGCGGGCGCGCTCTCCGCTCTCCCTTCTTGTCTCTGTGATCCATGAGCTGGGTCTGACTCTCCTTCCCACGATCACACTCCCCTGGGCGGGGAACACGCGTGGTTAATTGTGACTCCGGTAGTGCTGCATGGCAGAGAGAACGCCTGCTACAGCTGGGGCAGCTTGTTATCGGCCTGAGGCAAAGCGCTGGCAGCTGTCGGGAGAGGAGGAGAGTGACTGATGCCCAGGATCCGTGTGTGATGGGTTACCCCCACTCCGGGGTGCCACTGAGCCCGCCCGTTCCACCAGCCTGGGCTCCCTCACCCTGTCCTGCTGTGCCAGGCCCTCAAGCCTCCGCCAGCACACCCAGGTAGGGACACGCCCAGCTGCAGAAAGACACAGACACTGAGATCAGCTCTGCATGGGAAGAATCAGCTAGGGGATCGCCCAGCACTCCAGTGCACACCCCCTCTGGGGTGCAAACCCCATATTGTACCGTCTTGCCCTGCCCAGAAAACGGTACAGCGTAAGCTCATGACATTCGCTCCCTCCCTCAGTGTGGAGGAAGTTATGCACAGCTTTCTGTCCCTCCCGCCCAGTTACGGATTCCACAAATTGGTTTTAGAGAAAACAAAGCCAAGTTTATTAACTACAAAGGATAGATTTGAAGTGACTATAAGGGATAGCAAACAGATCAAAGCAGATTACCCAGCGAACAAAACAAAGATGAAATCTAAGGTGAAGATACTACAGAAACGGGTTACAAGTAGGAGTTTCTCACGCCAAATGTTGTTTTAGGCAGCGTGCCGATTGCCCTGCCCCAGGTGACCGGCTGGGTGCTGAGTTTGGGCTGCCTTCCCCGGCGATCTGGGCTGTGAGCACCACTCCCCCGGGTCGAGGGCTGTGTCACTGATTTGGGCAGGGTCTGAGTCCCGGCGTGCAGCACTGCGTGTGCGTTCATGGCTGGTCGCTGCACGCGTGGTTACCGTGGCTGGCTGCTCAGATAGCCGGCGACGCGCCTGGCTATCTGCACTAGTGGGTCCTGGCTTTGAACACGCGGTGGCGATCGCATGCCTCCAGCGGGCGCGCGGTTGTTGGTTGAAGCCCCATGCCTTCTTCTCCTGCTCGCCTGGCAGGGGTGTGACGGAGGGCGTGACGCTGCTGCTGCTGGCTCTCCAGACGGGGCTGCTGGACCTGCAGATCCTGCAGAGAACCTTCCTCCTCAGTATCATCCTCTTCATCGTGGTGACGTCGACCCTGCAGTCCATGATCGAGATAGCCGACCCCATTGTGCTGGCGCTGGGGGCTTCGCAGAACAGGTAGCACCTGATCCCCCAGCCTCCCGTAGGGGGCAGCAGGATCCGGCCCTGCCTGATGCCCTGCAGCCTGCCCTGGTGGGGTGGCACAGCTTCCACCCAACCAGAGTCCCAGCGCTCCCCATGGCTGGGGGTCTCCCCAGACCAGGCACAGTCCTGGCCGCCCCTCGGGACTGCCTGGGGCTCGATGCAGCACCTCTTCTCCCAGGGCCCACTCCAGAAAGGGTCCCGTTGACGTCTCAGGCCCTCGGACAGGCTGTTGCTGAGCGCAGCGACGCCGCTGCCTTCCCCTTCGCCCCTCGCGGGACTGCTGAGACCCCTGGCTGGGAGCCGGTGCCAGAGCAGTGAGGGCAGAACTGGCTGGGCCCTCAGGCCTCCCTTAGCTCCACCTGCCCAAGCGGGGACAGGCAGAGTGTCGTGCGTCTCCCTCACTCCTCGCCGGTCCGGCAGGCTCCCTAGCCCTCTCCTCCTGGGCACCGCGGGGGGCTCTGGGGAAGCGCCGGAGCCCTGCAGGCTGAGCTGTGGCCTGGCCAGGCCTCTGACGTGTTCCTTCTCCCAGGAGCCCTTGGAAGCACTTCCGCAGCCTCAGCCTGTGCCTCTTCCTGCTGGTTTTCCCCTGCTTCATGGCGTACAAGATCGCTCGCTTCTTCCACATGGACTTCTGGCTGCTGATCCTGGTCTCCAGCTGCATGCTCACCTCCCTGCAGGTACGGCCGGGCCCCCTTCTCCCGTACC